CCTACCTGCAGTTCTGCGGGTGGTGGGTAGGTTTTAGGAAAGGGTGTGCTGTTCAGATACACCACGTCTCTCAGGTCATTTGCTCTGTGTTACTAACCCTCACTGTTAAGGAAAAAAATCCCCAATTTAATGAACATTCATGCTGAGAATGGTGGGTCAGCCCTAGGAATCAGGGTCTGCTGTAGCTTTAGAGTCCACTGTCATGGTGACTGAGTTTTGGACCTCATCTAAGCAGAACACTGAAGGTCCCACACTAGACAGATATGAAGACAGGGGGAATTTATGGCAAATGGCAACCGGCCACTGACACATGTGGGGCTCCTTCCTGCATTCCACGGGGCCACACGAGAGCATCACCCAGTTCTGTGTAGAGCAAGGCTGGAGCGTGTTCAGTCCCATTTCTTGGTGTTTTGACTCTTCTGTCAACACTGGAGACAAAGTGGGGCAGTCATGTGACATGAGAGGACCAATCACAGAACTCAGTAAGCATTTAGAGCATTTACAAATAGATACCAAAGCAGAACCAAGAGACTTTCCCAAGGACCAAGTAAGGAGCCCTACTGGGAGATTTTATCTCCCATAGTGACCGGGAAAGATTTTGATTCACAGCCTGGACCAGAAAGGGGAATCTGGTTGGTTTTACATGATTTAAAACATAACTGAGAATCGGTGGGAGTGAAGTGAGTTTTCATCTGTGATTTACTCACACCCTGAAGATAGTTATAGCCTAGGCAATCACCAGCTACTTCAGTTTCTGACCCCTGCACTTAAAAACGGAAAATTCCCAATGAATACATCTGCGTCCTTTCCAATAAGCACGGGTTATGCTATATAGCTTGGAGTTATGGCGCAGACACCGGTTTACAGGCATTTTCTAGTTTAATTAAATACTCTTCAATGTGCAAATTTAAATGACTATTGTCCACTAACTAGATATGCCACATTAATTTGATCAATTTCGAAACTATTTCTGATTCTATTATAACAGACTCTATAATGAGCGTGTGTATACCTACATAATTTTAATGATACAGTTTGGGTTATTTTTAGAATAAAATTGTACCGGAGCCAACCTGGAGAATTTTATTCCAATCATTTATATTTTAATTCATTTTAAAAATTGATATTTTATTGTCCACATGTATTGCACTGAGGTTTTTTTCACTTAGTAAATTGTAGGCATTATTTCAGGGCATTAAATATTCATTGAAAAATATGATGAGTTTTTTAGTGGCTACAAGATAACTTACCCTTTGAATAAGCCGTCATTTCTCTCCCTCCCTCCCTCCTGCCTCCCCCTTTCCCTGTCATTCTCTTCTTATTGACTATTCCAGTTTCTCCCCTTCTTAGTATTACAACTATCCTCTGCCACCGTGAATATTCTCATGCATATATTTTATGTAATTAAGAACACAGAATAGAGCAATGAACTTCTACATTAATCACCCAGCCCCAGCAATTAACACCAGCACATGGACCATCTTGCTCGACTATAACCTCCGAGTCTCCACTCCCTAGAGGGTTGTCATGAGGCACAATGCCCAGGATGTTTTTGTTTCACATGGCGTATGAGGAAAATGGGCTCTTGAAGCAGATAATGTTATGACCTCCTTATGCTGAACACATCTGATATCCAGGAAGGTATTAGGAAAGTGTTCGAGGGGTCACAGGAAGTAGGAAATACTGTTGGGAAAGTGAATGCGATGCTTGCTTTCATTTTGGTAAATTTAGGTTATGCCTGATGGGGAGGGAAAATGTCACCACTGATGCTGAGGCCAATGAAAGACATTTGAGAAGGACGAGCTGCTTTGCTTCGATGAAACAACCACCTTCCTGAATCTCCAAAAATGACTCGAGAAAGTGCCGAAAATCACTAGAGGGTGCATTTGCTTAATGCCTAGTCTATCAATCTCTGTGGCTGTGTGTTGTATACTTTTAGCACCAGAAGCAGGTAGAGGGGGAAGGAGTGGCTTACGAGGAGAGAAAACATTCAATACGATTCTCAAGACATGCGGTAACATGTTGGTTTTCAGTGTTGTGTCCCACGAAACTACCCAGCTGGAGCCGTGTGAGGGGCATCAAAACCATCAACGCATCCATTAGAGGTCTGAGTAGGTCACAGAGGGGATATCACCACAGACACCCCTTTCATATAATCTAGCTCCATTGTCTCTGCTTAGGCTACTGGGCTGGTGACATGGCATTGTGGGTAAGAGCACTTGTCACCCACCAAGACTGATAACAAGAGTTCAAGCGGCAAGACTCAAGATGGAAGGAGAGAATGAACTCTTGCAAGTTGCACTCTTACCTCCAAACATGCTACACACACACACACACACACACACACACACACACACACAGAGAGAGAGAGAGAGAGAGAGAGAGAGAGAGAGAGAGAGAGAGAGGTATGAGCACACAGACATATAAATAAATATTTACATGTTTGTTCCCATCCACACAGCCCAGCTTCTTTTCAGAGCCCCAACTGTAGCTTTTGTTATCCAGCGACTATGCAGTGATTCTTCAAGATGATCTGCTGAGATATCAGGCAATCGATTTTTAATACTTCCACCCATCCTAACAGTACACGCAAAGTCATGTTGTCAATCATAACACCAATATTTCCTTACTTCCATATTTTTGAGGGTTGTGTGTGTGTGTGTGTTTGTGTGTAATGTAATGAGTGTGAGTGTGCATCTGTATGTATGGATTTGTGTGTGTGTGTGTGTGTGTGTGTGTGTGTATGTGTGTGTGTGTTTTCCTTGCTGTGCTAGGGATCAAGCCTGAGGTGCTAACCCATTTCTCATGTGCTCTACTCCTGAGCTACCTACCCAGCCTTAGTGAGTCCTATTGTTGAGTCCATGCCAGTGCTGCCTATTCTTTCCTCATTAACTTGAGCCAGTTGGCCTCTTTGGAACAGCCAGGTTTAGCTTTCTCTTTGTGTGTGTGTGTGTGTGTGTGTGTGTGTGTGCGCGCGCGCGCGCGTGTGCGCACATGCATGTTTAGTAGATTTTGTTTTCTCATTTATTTTTCAAGCTTTGCTTTCATTTCAACACTGTTTTCCCAACCTTGCTGTACCATCCAGAACTGATGTCTCTTATAAACCTCCCCACCTTCTGTTCTTTGCGGAAAGGCACAGCAAAAAGCATGCTGGGGAAGGGATGCATCTAACCCTTACATGAAAATAGACTGTTAACCTAAGGAGATGACAGTGCTTCTTTCTCTTTTCAGAAAGTCACCAACTCTAACGTGGGCAGATAAACCTTTCAGAAACCTTGCTTTGTTGGCCCAGCTCCTTTTAGATATCATTTTACGCATGAAAATCAGAGGTCAGGGCTGAGTACTTCATGAGAGGGGAGAGTGAGGTTTCCCCACGAGAAGCTGTGTTGTGATGGTAGATGGGGGATAGCGGCCCTCTAATTCTGAGGGAGAGACCACCCCCAGAGCACGTAGGTTCCAGTTGCAGAGTCATGGCCGGCTTTTCTTTCCGTTGTTGCTAAGGCTTTTCTGGGGAGATGAAAAGGGAGTAAGAGTGAACTCTAAAGAGAAGGGAGCTTGTGGAGAACAACGTTGACAAAGAAGCAGCAACAGGGATTTTCTTGAATGAGAAATGGCCCAAGATGTGTCAAGGGGAGAGTGACCCAGAAGCTCGAGCTTTGATCTTGAGGCGATAAAGGGCATGTCCATTCCACTGGAACTCAGGATGAAGACGGGATTACATTAAACAGTGTTTAACAACACAGAGAACTAGAAAGGAGGACATGGAGCTATCCACTGACTTCTCTTTCAGCCATGCACAACCGTGTCTTCCTCACAAACTGCAGTGTGGTTCTGACGAGCATCTGCGTTTGGCGATTTCTGTGAAGAGCTTTCCTTTCACATAAAGTACCAATGTTTTGCTTCTTGTCTAATGATACTTGTGGAGCATCATTTCTTAGGACAGCCAAGCCATAGCCACCAATGACAGCTAACGCTATTTATAATTTAAATACTTACAGCCTAACTTTCAATAAGGGCATAAAGAGTCCTTTAAGAATTGACCTTCAAAATACAAATTCATCAAATGAGAGCAAATGTCAAGTGGACCAAGGCTGAGTTCCAAAAGTGTCTTTGTCTCAGCGAAACATCAGCAGCAGTTTCAAAGCCATGACTTGCTCAGTTCCACTTGAAGTACATGATTACATGGTATGTTCGAAGCATCATCAGATATATGTTTTTGTTCTCCTAAACTTTTTGTTGTTCTGTTTTCTCCTCATTGTATCAATTTATTATTATATTAATATATGTTTATTAGCCATGAATTAGAATAAGGCAACTCTCACTTTTAAGAACGTCTTCAAAGTCCATTGCAGAGAAAATAACAATCTTCAAGCCAAAACCATTTTGGTTAAGGCCAGTCTTTTATGGGAGAAGTTTGGGGAGGGTTCCTGAAAACCTGACTTTATGTATCAGGTTCTATTCTATGTCTGGAACTGACATAATTTTAGAGAATGTGTTGGGGGAGGGGCTGCTTGTTCATCTTGACCTCCCAGAACTGAAATAACCACACAGCAACTGTATTAATTAAAACACTGCTTATCCCATTAGCTCTATATTCTTATTGGTTAACTCTTACATATTAATTTAATTCATTTCTATTAATCTGTGTATCACCACGAGGTCGTGGCCTACCAGCAAAGTTTCAGCCCATCTATCTCTGGTGGTGGCTCTATGGCATTTTCTCTCTCCTCCTTCCTTCTCCCAGCATTCAGTCCAGTTTTCCCTGCCTACCTAAGTTCTGCCTTATCAGCAGGCCAAGCCAGTTTCTTTATTCATTGACCAATAGAAGCAACACATAGACAGAAGGACCTCCCACACCAAGAATGTATGTCACAAACACTGAAGGAGGCCCATGTTGAATATGGTCCCTAGGGGGAGATGTTCAGGTACCCAGGGTTGTATCTACCATGATAGAAGACAAGGAAAGCATCTAAGAAAGCAAGAAAGGGTTAATAGGCAGATATGAGAAAAAGAGCAGCAACAACTCAGTTTATTTCTACAAACAACTAGAGATTGTGATAGGACCTCTAATGTGTATGGTAGGCTCGGTGATAACGGAAGTTGTCCCTCAAGGCCTGGAGGAATGAGCTGTACCTAGCAGAGTTCAATCAGAACATTGATCTCACGTGAGGACAATACACTGGCATCTGGAGCGCCCGGAACATCCACATAGAAGGTGAGACAGTGTAGGATGAATTGACTTTGGATTTGGCTATGCTTCCCCCAGCCAGAAACGTGTGTTTTGAAGAAGAGGAGCTGAATTCCATGCACAAGGGCAAGTTTGAATCTGTTATCAGAAATGGGACAAGATTTTAATTTTCAGTTAGCAAAAAGTATTTCCAATTTGCACATCTGAGATCCACAACTATGAGAAATTCAAATTTGTAACATAAACAATCCCTTGCTATGACAAACATACTTTAGTGAGCACATACTAATTAAATTTATCTTAAAAACAAAAGCCCAAGACTCCAATAAAAAAAGATGTTAGAAACACTTATCAACATGCAGCTCAGACTTACCTTAAGCGCTTGGCATAGCTTATTCCCTCCCTTCCCCCCATTCCTAGAAACCTTGAGGTTTTGATTTCCTCTTTCTTTCTGGCTCTTCTTCACATTTGAAGGACAGTCTTCCTTTCATGTGCCTTAGCATTCTTGCAGAGGAACACTGCCTTCCCTGATCTAGTCCCCGGGTATTTCAGGCAGAGGTTTCATTATCACTGACGTTCTACTGACTTCAGCCTCTCGTCTACTTCCATCCAGACCTCGGGACTCACAGAGTCAGCGGTCTCCAGGAGAGTTCCTCATGGATGTCCTACAGTCTCTCAGTCAGTGTTTTCAGTTCATTTTACAATGGTACAGGTGCCTGTCACAAAACGGGTACTCAGCTCTGTATCCTGGATGTAGTTGATCACGCACCACAATTGCCTGGACTTGGCTGTTGTTCATCTATAGCAGGACTATAAAGATCTCAACAATAAGGTGTTAGGGTTTGAATTCAATTTGTTTCCATCAAAACTCCTGTGTAAGTGTTGGTCCTTAAGGTGACATTCATTCATTCATTCATTCATTCATTCATTCATTCTTCTCTCATACAATGCATCCCCACAGAAGCTTTCCCTTCCTCCACTCCTCCTGGGTCCTCCACACCTTCCCTTTTCCCTGGCTCTATTGCTTTTTCATTTCCCGTCAGAAAAGAGCAAGCCTCCCAGTGATATCCACTGAACATGATCCAACAAGATGCAATAAGACGCGACACAAATCCTCATACCAGTGCTGGACAAGGCAACACAGGAGGAGGAAAAAGGTCCCAAGATCAGACCAAAGAGTCTGAGACATGGGGGTCTCCTAGGAGGGGTTTGGATAATGAGGCAGAGCCCTTGGAAATGACTGATTTTCCTGTGAGAATGGCTTAGCTCTTCTTGTTAGGCCCCCATTTCTCTCTCCCACCCATGCCAGATTGCCCTTCTGTGTTTTGTCACGAGTTGACTTAGCACAAGACCCTCACTGGATGTGGCAACCCAGTCTTGAACTTCTCTCCTTTGCTGAAATGTCACTCACACAAACTCCTTCACAGATTACGCAGTTCCAGGATTCTGCTATGACGGCTGAGAACCAACAAAGACACAGGGTTAGTGTTCTTAACACCTGCTGCCCTCCCAAGCATCCAGCAGTGTCTGCTACTTACTGTATCATGTGTTTCAGCTGATGTCTTCTGAAGGAGCGAGAAGGAAGGAGAAAAATCACTCTGGAATGCAAAGATATGAGAGACAGTCTCCAATTCAGAAGCCAATGAGAGAATTTATGGAGTGCACCTAATAAGAAATGACGTTAAAACCTAATAGGTTAAATTTGTTCTTCCTTTTGCTTGTTTTCTGGAGTCAGGAGCTGAGGAAGGGCGGGGTGGCATGGTCCTGGAAAAGTGATGGGGTTGCCACCGCCCTTACTGTGAGTTATGAAGGAGCTAGATTTACCACCGGGTGTCTGTGGTCTCTGCCACATGGGAGGCTCAGAGTATCTGTACTTCTATGGTGCCTACCTTCACCAGCACAAGCCCTCCAAGAAAAGCAGATGGAAGCTACATGGCCATTGCTGGCAGAACTTTAGAATTTACATAACAGCCCTTCTGCTGCATTCTGCTGGGAGAAAGGAAATCCTCACAGCCCACCCAGACTTAAGAAGACGCCTTTCAAAGTGAGGCACGTCAAAGAATTGGACAACATGGACTTCGGTTAAGTTCCTTCAGATTTGGGGGCTTTGGATAGCTGTTGAATTTTAATGGTTGAGAGATTGACTAAACAGGATTCTGGTTGAATAAACATTTATGGTATATGGGGCTGGAGCAGAATCTGAGTCACAAACAATGAATAATCCAGTTGGCAAGAACATACCCTTTGCAGAGGGTGGGCTGGGAAACCATGCTGGGAAAACAGCAGGGTCTTGCATGCTAGGCTAATAAGTCAGTGTTTTCTTCTCCTTGGTGTTAGGGACAGAATTCACCCTCAGCTATACTAGAGAGGTACCCAACTGCTGGCATCCCAGCTTAGGGTCTTTCATGCCAGCAGTGAGCATCTCTTGACACGTAGAAGAGGAGCATGGTCGAAGAACTAATTTTAGAACCTAGCCTGGGGTTCAGCAGAAACTGGACAGGCTAAGTTATATGTAATGAACTCATTGATAAGGCTGTTATAGTGATCTTGGAGAAGTTGGGGCCCTGCCTGAGTAAAGGGGTGAAATTTAATATGAAAAGGAAGGAATGGGAGAATGTTGTGGGGAAAAAAACACAACAGCAAGACTGGGGACCTCTTGTTGACTGGAGGGTGCTCTTATAGGCTAGAGGCTCTTGCAGGCTAGGGGGTGCTCTTGTAGGCTGGAGGGGGCTCTTGCAGGCTGGGGGCACTCTTGTAGGCTGGAGGATGCTCTTGCAGGCTGGGGGGTGCTCTTGTAGGCTGGAGGGGGCTCTTGCAGGTTGGAGGGACTCTATCTGGCTGTCGGGGGCTCTTGTTGCCTGTAGGGGGCTCTTGTTGGCTGTAGGGGGTTCTTGCAGAGTGCAGGGGGTTCTTGCTGTCTGGAGGGGGCCCTTGCTGACTGGAGGGGGCTCTCGGTGTCTAGATGGTACTCTTGCAGGCTGGAGGGGACTCTTGATGACTGGCAGAGGCTCTCTCTGGAGGGGGCTCTTATTGGCTGGAGGGGGCTCTTGACAGCTGGAGAGTCATTTGCTTTCTTAGGACAGTAAGAAAGAAGCAGCTCAGTGTTCCATGGGGATCTGAAGAATTCTTCACCTAGGGAGGAAGCTCCTGTTCCTACCTTACGCATTTGATTGAAATAGGGATAATTAATCTTCATTTAAGCAATATACTATGTAAGGTTGTGCTTTACAACTCAGAATCCAACAGTTGGGATATGATATCAAGGGAAATCTGTTTCTAGTCTTTTTTGGGGGGGAGGAACTTGAAAAACCTGTTTTCCTAGCTCCTTTGTCTCTCCTTCCTATCACCTACTTAAAACATATCATATGTTGGAACAATATATGTCCTATCACCATAACTGTAAATTTCTTTATAGTTTTCCATCTTAAAAAACACTTAGGGAAAACCAGAATATAACAATAACATTGAGAATACTTTCTATTCTCCCTTTTACCTTGTTCAAGATGCTTTGGTTCGGCCTCTTGGTAATCCACCTTTGGTGGGTCTGAGCTGGCAGAACTATGGAAATCACTCTCCGGTTTTTATTTATGGTCCGCTCCAAAGCTTTGAAATTAAGTTGACATCCAGTGTTAGCAGATATTCATTACCTTTCTAAAATGCCATTTAGAAAACTGATTGCTTGGGGGACTAGTCGGCAAAGAAGGGGACATTTCACACTCAGAAGACCGACTCTGTTCATGAAACGGCACAAAGTTCTCCTGGTAGGCTCCACCAGCGAGTGGGGCCGGCCCTCCCCGGCTCCTTTGCATCTTTCTATTTTAAACCAATCGTAATCTTGTTTTGAATTCTATAAAGTATCATGCATGTTGACATCGAGGCATAAATAACAAAGCCCATCTAAAGCAACATTTCCGCTAGGGAAAACAATCTGAAAGGTTTATTTATGCTGGAATTAAAAAAAAAACCCACAACAAATGGGAAGAGAAGAAACGATCCAGAAGGAGTGGAGAAAAGAGAAACAAGCCTTGCTTCATAAAGAATATCCCACACATGGATGCCTGTGAGGCTCTGAAATCACTCAGTCCTGGAAGTTGTGAACCAAGACTTCTCCAAAGTGCTTTCCTTTCCCCCAAAGAAGTCATAACAGGAATATATATAGATCTATAATGCCTTTCTGTTGGGGAAATGAAAGTACTTTCAAAACAATCTCATAACACTCTGATGGAGGAAATGATGGCAGGTTTTATATTACCCCTATCACACAGGTGATGGAGGCCCTGATAAATGGAGTTGGTGGCAAAGTCACAAATAGATGCCAGGCTTTCTGATGTACAGCTAGGACTTCAGTAGTTAAATGAAAAATATGTTCCCTGTTTGCTCAGCCCTTCTTCATCCATCAGAAAGAACCTTTGGCGTCAGGATTAACCCCTGCTCGTTCCCACACAGGAAACGGAGATCCCACTCTCAATTTTAAATTTGCAAAACAGTGTCACAAGAATAAGTGCTCAGATCAAAACCAAAAAATTTACTTGGACAGTTAAACGCCGAGATGCACAAAGTAATCTGTTGGTTGCCAGAGGCTGGGAGGAGAGGGAGGCGGAGTCGCTGTTCAATGAACATAAAGTCTGAGCCATAGAAAATGAGAAATGTCTAGAGCGCCGCTGTATGACACCAAGCCCTTAGTTACCAGAAGTATACCAAACAATTCTTTGTTAAGAGAATTCACGCTATATGGTTGCTTTTTGGCACAATGAAAGAATTTAATTTGGAGTGTACCCATGCTCCAGACACTGCTGCAACTTTAATGAACACAGTGGTTCACAAAATTGGGGATCATTTGCCTCTCTTGAGACCGGGTAGCTGTAAGTGATCTGCCCCAAGCCTTCATATTTTCATGGTTTCTAAAGCCATTACCACCTCAACAGCTCCATGGGTTGGTTTTGTTTTGTTTGTTTGTTTTCTTAAAAACTTAATATATTAGGAAGACTATGGGCTTGACACAGAATTTGCATTAAATCCTAACCCTAACTTACTGTGTGACTTTGAGAAAAACTACGTAATTTCCCAGCTCAGGTTTCTCTATTTGTAAAATGAGAACCATACCCTCGAATTGGGCTATCAAGGAACACATAATGTACACAGAACATTTTAGCTCAGAGTCTGGAATGGAGGTAACGTTCAGTATATATGACCACTCTTTCCCTGTATGAGATATTTAGTGAGCTGTTGGGAGCAGTCCTCCTGGAGCTGATGCCCAGGCCTACACCTACCTGCCGGCTAAAGACACACTGCCAGGAGCTGACTGGCACAATGAATCCAGGACTGGAGCTCTATAAAGTCTAAATTCTTCTGGTTCTTCCCTGTTAGCCAAATCTTTTGACACTCTTGCATCGTGATGGTTCTCCATGGTGTGAATCTGCCTTCCCAAGATAGAATGCGAAACCCCCACATTTCTCAGTTTCCTTTGCCTCTGGGATGCAGTCATCTGACTTAGTTCTGCTAATCAGATGCACATGCTAGAGAGAGGATTATGTGCAGAGGCAGGAGGGGTGCAGGGCCCCCATTCTGCAGGCACAGATGGTAGAGAGGCAGCATGGTTCTGGAGTCATCAAAAGCAGCTTCTCCCAGTTTTGCCAGCTTTGCTTTGAGGTTCTGGGGCCTGTTTCTGCAAATTCACTCCAGAGCTTCTGTCTTTGATTCTTCCAGAGACCCCAACTTTCCTGATGCTAAATATTCTACCATTTCATTTTTTTCTTCTTACCTGTCACGGGCCCTTGCATGGATTTTATGATGAGCTAAGTGTAAACAAATAAACAAACAAACAACACTGTAATATTCCCATACCTGGATGGATTTTCCATAAGAACCAGACTTTCTACAAATAAAGGGGATAAGCCCATTGCAGCCCAACATTAGTGGCCTCTTGGTTCCCAGCAGGGAGTTCTTACAACCTTAGGTTCAAGAGGTCCTCAAGGATCCCACCCTATTCTTAACCACCTGCAAGCCACACTTAGAAGGCTGCTTAAAGAGGCAAGAAAACTTCCACAAGAGTGGGTTGAAATGAAGTTTATCTTACTGAATAAACAGAAGATTTCCCTTACTAAAGGACTCTGGCTTCTTTGTACCAACCTAGATATGTGGAAGTTTTTTTTTTTTCCTTTTTTGAGACAGGGTTTCCCTGTGTAACAGCTTTACCTGTTCTGGAACTAGTTCTGTAGACCAGGTTGGCCTCAAATTTACAGATATCCACCTGCCTCTACCTACCGAGTGCTGAGATTAAAGGTGTGCACCACCACTGCCTGGCTGTAGGTCTAAAATCGATTGACTTAACAGTTTTGATACACATAAATTTTCAGTAAAGCTGTTCCATGTCACATGGCAGCAATAATATACATTCACTCAACAATTATTTCTTATGAACTGTCATGTGCCGGGTGTTGAGTTGGGGCTTAGCGCACATGCCATGCTGGGTAAGTAAGATCCGCTATCAATTTTCCCTCAAGACTCTCACCATGGAGTAGGAAGACAGACAATTCCAACATCATGTTGGACTAGGATCTGCTTCTCTCAGGGCTGGGAAGGCTTTCTTTTGCTGGCAGATTGTTTTTCTTACTATTTTAATCTCTAGGAAGAAAGATTCTGTCTCATACCTGATGCACTATTTCCTAATATTTGTATAGAATCAGCACCTGGACTGAGGCCAGCGATGCATCTGTAATTTCAGCATCACAATATGCTTTGAATTGCTTATACAGAGCTTATTCCTAACTGGAGAGGTAACCAGTGGACTTGGGTCAGTAAATCCATATTTCTTAGGATCCCTGATTTATTAGTGCCAGTACTTTAGCTAACAGAAGGAAGTTCCGTGGGTGTCTGACAGAATCAGAAGCAAAGCTGGAGAAAAGGTCTCCAGAAAGAACTGAGGGCACCATGTTCTCTGGTGGAGCTGAGAAGAGTGAACCCATACTCTTGTTCACAGAATACTGTCACCCAGTTACACTTGTCAAGATTCGAAATCCAAGAATAGCTCACTCCCGGAGTCACAAGGCCATGACTGCCCAAGCAGATACAGGAAATAGCTCAAGGATAGTTTGGGACACTGTTATGTTTGGATATGGTACCACCTCCCCACCGAAGGCTCTTATGTTGGAAGGTTTGGTCTCTAGTTCAATGTTCAGAGGTGAGACTTTGCAGAAGTGATGGGGTCACAGGAGATTATAAATGGTTCAAGCTACTGGTGGGTTTAAAACTTGAATAGAGATGAGGTGGCAAAAGTATGGAAGGTAGGACATCACTGGGGAAAATGAGTGCTCTTCCTGTCTCTCCCCGCCCCCTTCCCTCTGCTCCCCAGCTTCCCTGGGCTGCAAATTTTGCTTAGGAACACTCTCTTGTACTGCTCTGCCTCACCACAGGGATGCTGCAGGGATGCCGGGCAATCATGGACTGAATCCTCTGAAACCTTAGCCAAAATAAACTCTCTTTCTTTATAGCGGGTTTTGCTCAGATACTCGTCACTGCAATGAAAACTCACAGTAACACAGATCCTCTTAGAAAGCAAAGCAGAGTTCCACGACCCAGTTCCAAAGACATCTACCATGATGCCGCTGCTCCAATGGTGTGGTTCCCATGGCAACTACCATGCACATCCTCCTGTGCAGATGTTGACTAGGATCATTGATACTGCTTCTTTTATAACTATTCCTGACCCCAAGAAAGGCCTCTTGGTGAGGACAAGACAGAAGAATGCCATTGAAAGGAGGGTATGGGTTACAGAAGGAATTTTGCATTTGACTTATGTATCTTCAACCAATTTTACACTCAACAAAAGTTCTAAAATGTAGAGTTCCTAATATCCATAACCCTGCTTCCTCTAAGGAGATAATTATACCCACAAATATCAAGAAGATGAGATTAAATTGTCCCAATATCATTTACTCAAACTTGTATTTGATTAAAATTTCACCACTGAGGTAATTTTCTCTTGTTCCTGGTTCTCCCATCTCTCTGTAGCTTCTGAGTTAGTGTGACCGTTCCTCACACATTTCTTCTCTCCTATGACCTGGAGACCTTTGAAGTACTTCTCTGTAATGCCCTCATTTGGGTTAGTCATGTGTTCAGTTCTCATGATGAAGTGAGGCTATGTATATTTGTTATGTGTACTAGAGAGATGGTGTTGTCTATCCTAGCAATGGGTCTGGGCATTTACATATCTTATGATTAGTGACACTCTTTTAATTGGCTAACTTGGTTTCTGCTGGCTTTCTCCACTGTGAAGTCACTATCCTTCACTTTGTATTGATGACTACCTTGCTACAGAACACTGGGTCTATGTGAATCCTATTGTCCTCAAACTTCTGCCAGAACAGTTTAGTAGATCTTGTTTTTTGAGTCTTGCCACTTTATTGCTATTTTCTTTCTATTTCTCTCATTGCTCTTCTCCCCAGTAAAATTTATTGGAATTCTGTTTTAAGAAGTTTCTGTTTCTCTAAATACTACTTTTATTTTATTTTTTTAAGAATACAGTACTGTGTGCCTTAGGCTTATCTTGAACATGCTATATAGTGTCTTAGTTAGGATTTTTATTGCTGTGAAGAGACACCATGACCATGGCAACTCTTGTAAAGAAAACATTTAATTGAGTTTACAGTGTCAGAGGTTCAGCCCATTATGATCATGATCGGAGCATGGCACGCTGGTGCACTGCAGCAGAGAGTGCTATGTCTTGCAGGCAACAGGAAGTTGACTGATTGTCACACTGATGGAAACTTGAGAAAAGACCTCAAAGCTCACTTTTACAGTGACACACTTCCTTGAACAAGGTCTCACCTCCAAACAGTGCCATTCCCTTTGGGGGCCATTTTCTTTTAAACCACCTTACATAGCTAAAGACAACTTTGAAGTATAAATTTTGTTGCCATTACTTCTGGAATACTGGGATTAACAGGCATATACCATAGGGGTGGGATCAAATGTAGGGCCTCATACACACTAGGTAAAAAAAAGTTCTCACTGAACAATATCTCATGCTGCTAGTTACTTTGTGGTTCATTAATTATGACTTTGGACTTATGGATATTTATTTTGGCCTGTGGTTTAAAATCCAACAGCATCATTGTTTGGATCCCAAATTCTCCCAGCCTTGGCCACAAAGATCTCCTTTAGGTTAGTTCCTGCCACTTTCTGATGCCATCTTTCTTTGAACAGTTCTTGAACTTGGACACCGAGAGTTGTTCCAGGCTTGCCTTTTATTTCCATTACCTCAGCACCCAACACCAATTGTAACTTGAAGGGGCCTGCTTGTTGGGCTTTCTGTCCTGCCTGGTATCCCACAGCTGGCAAGTCTCAAAAAAAATCACACAGAGTTTAGATTAGGTTACAAACTGATTGGCCCATTAGCTCAGTCTTCTTATTAACTAATTCTTACATCTTATGGTAACCCATAATTCTTGTCTGTGTTAGCCATGTGGCTCAGTACCTTTTCCAGCAGGGCAGGTTACATCTTGCTTCTCTGTGGTCTGGGCAGGAATGGAGGAATGGGCTTCCTCCTTCCTAGCCTTCTCCTGTTCTCATCACCCCACCTCTACTTCCTGTCTGGTTGACCCGCCTATACTTCTTGCCTGGCCAATCAGCGTTTTATTAAAATACATGATTGACAGAATACAGATAATTCTCCCGCACCAACCAATCACTTCCCATTTAGGGAATTCGTTAAATCCTCAAATCACATCTCAAGCCAACTCAGCATCTCTGGGGTGGCACTCAGCACCAGGATTTGGTCAAGGTACCAGGTGAATTTTATGTGCAGTTGTGGTGAGAACCAATGGATCTGAGCAGTGTTTTCTAACTCTCCTGTGTCTTTCAAACCTTTGGGGATCTTGTCTGTTTCTGCAGATTTGGGTGAGAGACTAGATTCTGCTTTTCTATCATGGTTGTTGGGCAGACTCCTCTCTCTGTAAGCAAAGAAGGCTGGATTGCATGACCTCCAGTAGCATGCACCTTAAAAATCACTCGTGGATCTGCAAAGGCCTTGCAGCTTTGAGAAAACAAGTGTTTGTTATGTCACTGCCCCCATCATTTCTTTTCCAATTAGCTGGCATGCATGGCAAAGGGGTCCTTCTTGCTACACAGTGTAGACAAAGTCAAGACTGATCTAAGAAGTGAAAATGGAAAATGGCAGTGTTTGACTCTGAAAGCAAACCACCACAATGAACAAAAAAATAGTAAGTGTTTTCCTTGTCTTCTATTGTCCCAACAGGTCGTGGATACATCTCTTTGAAACATGGAGAGTGATAATAAAGGAGCATTATTTGTTAGGCTGAAAGCCTAACCAAAAAACCCCAGATGTGGCTATTCATCTTGGAAAAGACTGATACAAAAGGTGGGAGTCTGCTGTGGGAAGTAGGTCATGATGTTGGACTTTGTTTGAACATAACCCTTTGGGGACCTTGTCTTTGGCTTTTTTTTTTCTGCATTAGCTCAGTTTTCCCAGCTGTTTTTAGCTTGTACATATTCCAGTCCAGCCACTAAGCTACTCCAAGGTGGCTGGTCTCCAGGAGAGTAACACAAGGTCCAGAAAGAACTAACTGCAATTAGTCACATTTATCTGGATTTTATGGACCCATGCACTTTGTCCTTTACCAAAGAACTTTGATTTTCCAAATGAGGGTCATCTGTAGCATCCCTTCAGCTTTCAGATACCCAATGTATATTCACTGAAGAGTGCTTAGTCCTATGAAGATGCAGAAACCTACATCTTTGGGTGGGAACAAGCATCCCTGTTTCCCTGGTGATCTCTGGCACACATTCTACCTCTAACAGGCATGTAAATGCATTAGATAAAATTACAGGCTATTGGTTCATCAACAGTGTGTTTTCATTAGCTAAAAGAGCTGGGTTTCCGACCCTTTTCACCTTCTAGGTGAGTGACTCTGATGGCTATAATACTTTTTGTCTTTCCTCTCAGGCCTTCTCTACCAAGATTTCGAAATCCTTCGACTTGCCTTCTGGGACTTTGTACTGTAACCCTTCCTTCCTTAGAGCCTCAGACACAAAATAAAGGAGACGAGATGTGGTCTCCCTCACCCCCACCTGCGGATGGTTGCGCAGAAACTGTCCCGTTTGTGCCATGCGGTGTAGTCAGGTATCTATCAGAGATGCCTCAGCAGCCGCCTTCTGGTCAGTGCTCACTCTGTCTCAGTCCTGCAGATTCTCGGCCCTGATGGAGGAGGCAAAGCCCAGCATTAACAGCACGTATAAAACTAACCCAGCAAAGGTAGATAATCCATCACCTTTCATAAGACAAGCTGATACTTAACAGCTTCAGTGCATTAAGTAGTTAGGAACGTATTAACTGGGTTTTGCAAAGGAAAAAAAAAAAGGTTCATTCTGAGTTTATGATGATCTCATTTTATAGAAAAAAAAAAGAAAAAGAACCGATTTCTGTTTTTATTGAGCCCTAAACCTAATGCTTGGAAGAAAGGCCCCAGTGCTGGGAATCGATGAAGCGGGTGATGCCATGTGCTAGGATATCATTCATCTGCCAGTCAGACGACATTCTCACCCGGCCCTGCCCGCACAACAGGGACAGGCAGAGACCATATGGGTGCAGAGGCCATGGCTTCATCGCTGAGGACATACATCTGGCATGCTGGCTGCTCTGACCCTCTTCTCCTGTGGTTGCTCTGGTGCTTCACCTGAAGATGTGTTACTGCCTCACAGGCGTCATAACTATGTCTTTCATTTCTCTCCCCTGACTTATACCTGCAATGAAAACGCAGAGGTGGGGGGTGGGGGCCAAGGCTTTTCCTCTCCGGCCTCCAAGTCTCCAACACTGGGGACATTTTTGAAGCATTCTCTTGGAGGAGACACTTGTGGGTAAACAGGGGAAGGGATTTAGACGTTCCTAAGAAAGGAAAGTTGAATTGCAGGATTTAGACGTGTAAACTGATTTGGGACCGGCGGTTTAGCCATATCCCGGGCTGTGCTTGTGTCTCTGCTTGGGGTAATTTCAGGGACCTATTCTTTCTGACCATCGTCTGTTTCTACTCATGTTTTGAGTTTGCCCCATTCTGCTCTGGAAACTCTTAGCCTAAACTACAGTCATTGTTTTTTCCCAAGCAGACACGGTCAGTGAGATGACCAAGCTTGCTTTGAAACTGTAAACTTGACAACAGGGTGTGAAACCCACTTAGTAAACCACAACTAGCTGGCTTATTGTCAGAAAAAAAAATAATAAAATTTTCAGGCTGCATTGTTTACCAAAAAGGCATTAAATTATGAACTCGTATTTGCACCTGTGTGCCGTGATTTTCAATGTAAAATGTATTTATTAGGATCAGGGTTTGAAATAAATATTTAATAAATACTAATTTTTGACTTTGAATAGCACTGGTTAGGAGCGTGAATACTATTTGATTTTGAATCTTGGCTCTAACATTTGCTAGCTGTGTGACATTAGGCCAACTACTTAACTTCTCTGTTTTAGATTTCAGTATTTCACATTTGTGAAAGATCAAAAAAATGTAGCTACCTTACTGGGTCAACATGAGACTTAAGTGTAATAGCTTGTGTACAGTGCTTTTAAACCTTGCCTGGCACAGTGTCTTATGACACTTAACCCACTTATGTGGGTTAAAAAAAAAGTGATCAACGTGAATTTTTTTTTTTTTGCATGATGAACCAAGGCAACAGTATTCCTTTTCTATGGCTATTTATAGTCTAGTATGCACACATGTGTATTTTTATTAAAAACTGTCTGTTCTGTGTGGCATTCTCCCAAGCAGACCTCAGGGTACCAACCACAGTGCCACTGCTCACGTGCTGTGTGACCTTTGACCAGCTCTGTCTTTATAGACCCCGAGGCTTCATCCCTAAAGTGTTACCAACAGAATGTGTCCCATCCCGTGTCTGCCAGGACTCCGAGGTCATTCCCTGAAGAAGCTCTGGCTCTATGAACCCCTGTCTTTGCCGTTAGGATTCAAATCATGTCCTTCCTGCACCCTTCCCGAACTGAGAGGCAATCCCGCCTCTTCTTTGATGTGAATGGCTTGCTTAAATCTGTATTTCAGTCCCCTGAGCTGAATCAACCACATAGGGGCTCAGATAAAGGCCGGTACCCTGAGGAGGGAAGTCATTGTGAGGCCCAGGAGGTGGATTCAGACCGCCCCACTGCGCGCTCTTCAGCCTCTCCATCACCACTTAGCTAAGTCTCTTGAATGTCCTTTTACCTCAGCAGGTTTTCCCATCCCCTTGTGTCGTTCCGACATGTCACAATGCCACTCTGACAGCTGTCTGCAGCCAGAGGGTCACATCCTACTGCTTTCCCCTTCAGAGACAGTAGCAAAGTGTTCAGGACAAAGCCGCCTACCCAGGCTAGATAGCTAGCCCCCGCCTCCTTTTTTCATTGTCACTTGTAAATACTTCAGTAGCATAAAGGAGCTCATTAGCCAACGGGGCTTCCAACTCTAGTCCCTTTCTTAAGGACCCTTGGCAAACCTGTTGTGACAGAAATGTAAAATTCTGGAGGACTCCTGGACTTGAAGATCTGCCATGGCTTCGCTGTAATTCTCCCCCTCTTCTCCCACGGCACACTTACCAGAGCTTTTAAACATGAATAATGGGGTGATATTATGCAGTATCAATCTCTCCCCCGACCACAAGTTCCTCAAGGGCAGGGTACCTGCCGGTATTCATCTTTGTATCCCCTGCAACCAACCGGCACACATCTCAATCAACATCTGCCGAAGGGGAGCCGGCTGAATTTATACCCCAGGTCACAGTGTGGAGCTCAGACGACTTCGGAGCTGAAGGCAAGTAGGAATCATTTATTAGTTACTGCCTAACTCGGCACTGGCTTCCCAGGAATTCACGACCCTGCAAAGGTTAAGGCGATTGTGTTGGTGCCTTTGGTGGAAGATCTTTCTCCTTGTTCTTAGAGGGAAGGAAAACCTGGAAGCCAGGTTTGGCGTATCGTGGTTTTGTCATCCATGGCTAGAGAAAGCCGGTCAGGAGGAGTATGTTTTTAACCCAGCGGCAGAACCGCAGACAGCTGCCAGGGCCGCCGGTTCTTACCGAGCTCAGTTCTAAACACAAGGCATGAGCTGTTTTCTTCCTCTGCTACAGGCGCGTGTCTTTGACTTAACTTTAGTTTCTAAGCAGAAATACAGAAAATCATCTTTGGAGACCTTGGCTTGTGCCCAAGCCACGCACTTTGCTATTTTGCTCTCTAGTCTCATTGCCAGACAACAGCGGCGTCGATGTTTCCCCCTTACAATTGAGGAAACTGAGGCCCAAGAAGTTTAACCAGAAAGCAGGGTGGAGATCAGCCCCGTCCGGATGCCCACGCTCCATCATAGACTTCACTCTTTGCACACTGTTGGGAGTTTTAGCGCGCGCGTGACAGGCCGTGCGCTTCCGTTTCTTCACGAAGCCTCCTCCTGCTCAGGTTCCCTGATTCCACTTTTTGGAGACAAAGTCCAGTTCTCCAAGATTTGACCTCACTAGGCCATCTCTCGCGCGCGTCCCAAGGACGGACGGCCACTCCCCCGCCCACTTCGGAGTCCCAGCCCCGGTTGAGCCTTCGGGCTCTGTGCCCATCCCACTGGGTCCGCGCCGCGGGGCTGCTCCGCGTACCCAGAGCTCCCTCGGGATCGGGTGGCCCGCGCCTGGCCCCACCTCCCCTACCTGACGCCCG